TTGTAAAAGACTGGACTACCTCACTCGTAAACAGATAATGGTGACAAAGCATGTGGCCCGCCTCTCGCTGCTTGGAACAACTTTCATGAGGGACTTTATATAAGGAAGGGGTCTTGCTTTATCGCCTCTGTTTTTATGTCGCTCCTGCTGGATAAACAATATGTAAGGTTAATAGGTGTGATGACTGCTTGTATATCATTCCACTTCCCTGGGCTGCTTTAATAGCCATATAAGAATAAAAATAAAACAACTTACCTAGATGTGTATAGATGGATCAGATATATAGCCAAATGCGCTGATGAAATCATTTTGTTTGTTTATTATTGCAAGTGTGTTACACATTATCACCTGCATATGTTATTGTTTAAAAATGTTATTGAACCTGACATTATGTGTTCTCAGCGACTTTCCATGGGGCAACTTCACCTATGTTTCCCCATACCTTTATCTCACGGCAATCATTATGAGGGTCAGAATTACCCTGGGGTTTGGAAAGGAGCTACTTTCCCAAGCTGCACTCGGGGGAGTAATCTGGAAGTGCTGTGTCTGAAGTCTAAAGCTTTCTTGTAGTATATTCCTGGTTTGTTTTATTAACAAAAACAACTAGGGGGTTGTGACTCTCCTTTGGTTCTCAATGCCTTGGCTTGTGGTGTTTATCCTCTTTGTTCCAGTGAGCTTCTAAGTTAGGACCAGTAACAGAGACTTAGCTTATGGAATATCTGTTTGAAGATAGTCTCTTTGATTGCTATACCGTGTAACATGCTTGAAGAATACTATTGCACATTTTCCTTTTGCTCTTACATTGAGGATCACGAGTAGACGATGAAGCGCTCGAGAATTTTAACTCCATATCCGTAGTCCCGGGCAGATAGGGACGCTATGTCGCTATGAATTTCTTGAACTGAAGGTACTGTCATTGGCCAGGGTCTAGCATGCTGACATTGCATTAGCGTCAAGGGCATAGCCTCGAAAGCTGCTAGCATGCCTGTAGGACTTGTGTTTTGTTCTTTGGTTGTATTGGCCATTTTTAGTTGAAAATTGTAAAAGGCTTTATATCTTTACTTTCGGCTGCGACCGTGTTATTATAAAGATAGAAAGAATTATGACCTCTGCCTCCTTATGGAGGAGTTTTGTGGATCTGGCTATGGCGGGATGCTCGAACTCCTCAATGCAAAAACTCAAACTCTCATTATATGAGTTTTTAAAAAGAAAAAAAGCTCTGAGACAGAGAAGCTAATTTCTCATCTGAAACACGTCTTAGATGTGTTCTGATAGCAAACAAGGTTAAATAGAAACTAAAGCTAAAATGTGTCTTTTAAGCTCTAAGAGAGTGAATGTAACATATCCTGTGCAGTATTCGGAGGCTGCACTGGGCACTGCTGTAAGTGACAGCTGAAAGCAGATCATTTAGCTTCAAAGGGGGGAGTAAACACAAAGTAGCAGTCACCAGTATCTACTTTTCTTATCTTGCAGACTCAACAAAGACCATGGCAGAAAAAAAAAAAAAAGGTGGCCACATTTCAAAGTCATGGCAGGAGAGATACTGAGGTAAAAAAGGTGAGGGGATGAGATAGACGATGGAGGCGACTGAGAGCAGAGGTCTCTTGAGGATTGGGCTTTAAGGGAGAGCGGTTGACAGAGCAGATAAACAAAGGGAGATGATGGAGGAGGAGAGGAGGATGAGTGAGGCTGGAAGTTAGTGCTAATGGAAAACCCATACCTCCGCCGCTGGAGAATGGAGGTTATTCATTGGTAAGACTGCACTCAGCACAGGGATGAGAGTATAGCAGGACATAGAGGGTGAGTCACCATTCCTGTGTGTGCCTTCCCCTACTTTACTTCCTCTTTGCCGTCCATATCCCCACTTTCATCTCTCTGCCTCTTTCTATCCTTCCCTCACTCCCCTCTTGTCCCTTCTTTGACTGCACTGTGTTGAGGATTATCACCCGGCTGCGGGTTTGGGCCAGAGGGGAGATTGCAGAGCCTGATATGCTTTACCAGCATCCATGTCATTTATGACCACAAATAAAACACTGACATTTTTGTTTGTGAGTTGTGTACCGCAACAACTGTGACTGGTCCACTTG